TATAATATTTTTTTCATTAAAGTTTTATTAGTAAATATAATAATATAGTAAAGGTTTTTGGGAGGTATTTCTTTAGTTTTTTTTTGAAGTTCCGTTTTCTCAAAGGTTGTTTTTCTGAAGTTTTTTTCTTTGAAGCTTTTTTTTCTTCAGAGTTTTTTCTCTACAAAATAACATAAAATAATACTCTAGATTAATGTTCACAAAATAACTCAAACTTTTTTCTATCAAATTTTGAAGATTTTTTTTTTGATCTTTGAATTTTTTTTTCCTTACAAAATAACACTCTATATTAGTATTACAATATTAACACAAATCAATGATTCCATTTGCTTCTAACATAATAAACTTACCTATATCTGAAGCCTTAACTTCTAAACAAAGACGTATGTATTTTTTAATATTAATCATCTATTTGAGGTTTCAATAGAAGAGTTCGACAAGAAGTGGTAGCCTTTTGTATCAAACATATGGATTGGATATAGCTATAAAAATAATGTTAATGGTGATTCATGGAAAGTGTTTGTTTGTCGTTTCAACAAACATAATAAATCAAGTACCTAAAAGAAAGGTGTTCTATACAACAAATGTTGCATAATGAAAATTCAGTTAGCCAATATGTGTTATATAAAAATCAAGGTCTAACATTACGCTTCTAAAAAGAAAGTACAAATCAAACGATTTAAAGACTTGTCTGATCATTCACATTCTTTAGAGGAAAGTGAAAAAATCAAGCATTCAAATGTTGTTCAAGATTTAGTTATACAAAAAGCCTCAAAGAATTATTAACCACTAGAAATCTTAAGCATAATAAAGGAATATGCAACTAAAAACCTAGATTTAAGAGAAAGTGTTAAAGAGTTAAGACGAAGGGAGGTTGCAAATATAAAATATAAAGTTTGTGAATCTCTTGATATATATCTCATTGGCAATTCTAAACAAGAATCAGATATTTAGGATGCCATTTCCTTTTTGAAAGAACAAGGATACTTGGTTGAGTTTTATAAAGCTTTCCACCTGTCTACTTATGGTTTCATTTTTATACATCCAAATTAGCTTAAAAACCTTAAGTAATACAGCTGGTTAATCCTTATAGATTCTATGCACAAGACTAATAAATATGATTGTCGCTTATTCACCTTGTATATTCATAATTATTATATATGTTAGGATGTCAGATCTTACTTCTTTGTAAGTAACAAAGATTGTGATACTATTACATAAGGCTTGAAGATAATTAGGCGATTTACACATAATTGGAGTCCAAGATATTTTCTTTCTGAACAAAGTAATGTAGATTCAAACAGTATCAAAATGGCTTTTCTGAATTTTAAAAATGGCGAGCAAGAGTATAATATTTTTTTTTGTATAATCCATGTCATGCGAAATTAGATGAGTAAGATTTATGATAAAAAACACAACAGAAAATAGTTCATGCCATGCATAAAAGAACTAGAATTAATTGTGAAGATTTTATTCAACAAGCAATCAACGAATGCTCAATTCCAACTATCAAATAATATATTTTAAGAAATTATATAAAGAATATACATTGGGCACTATAGACGTGATAGCATTCTCTTCTTCTTTTATAGATCACCTTAACAAATGCTTTAGAGTCCTATCATAGTAAATTAAAAAGAACAACCTCTCCATAATATGGTTTAATTGATAAGTATATATTTTATATTATTACATTATAATTTTAATAATAAATCAAATTTTTAATAAAATCTATTAGGTGAATATCATAAGATAGTCGAACTTGATAATAAAAAATGTTCTGATTCAGAATGCATTACCTATAAATTTCACATTAAAAGAATTTCAGCTATTGGTATTGATAATAAGATTCTTTAGAAAATTCATAAATTTCCATTTCCTATTCAACAAATGCTCATTAATGAATGTTATGCTGTTGAAAGACGATTAGAAAAAGGCAAAAAAGCATCAGGTCTTACAACTCTAAGTTGTAATTATTTATTTTTCATCGGTACTTGTTGCCTTACCATCATATATTTCATGAATATATATATAGTTTTACAAAACTTTTAACACCTGATGTGTGGGAGAAGTTTTAGTAAATGTTTGATGAAGTTGTATTCGATATATATATGCATTACGAATTAGTTGACTTGGAGGTACCTAAGATGACCAAAGCTGAGAAGGCAATAGAAAATTAATGGTTAGTTGTGGGTGAATTAATGGAAAGAATGTGTGATATATATTAGAGGATTGAAAAAAAGAGGTAATATAAAATAAATTGATGCATTTATCAATAAATTGAAAGATCGTTTGGAGCCTGTTTTAAATAGAGAAAATTAATAAATTTTTTACCATTGTATATATTGTTCCATAATGATTTTGTAATTTTTTTCTGATTATATAAAAAACTGTTTTATGACAAAAAAAAATCATATGTTCTTTGTTTGTTGGCTTGGAAATTATTCACGTGACTTATTCGTATCACGGCCGATCATCCGACGTGATCCGCCGATCGATTAGTCACGTGTTCGAACACGGCTTTAACCGCCCCCTGAAATTGGAAAGTTAAAAACGCGTTAGCCCATGTCATTCGGTTTGGGAAGTTACTTTACACAACGAGGCTAGGGTAATATCTAACCTTTGCGTAATCACCTCAAGAAATGTTTTTTTCTATGTAAATAAACAACAACAAATAATACAAATAAATAAGCTTATAAACATTAACTACACTCGCTTCAACAAATTTAAAATATCCTACATCCGCAAATTTTTTCGTTACCTTGTATCAATATATTATTCTCGCGATAATATCTTTATATTTTTATGGTATGAATCATGCCCAAAGGGAAATTACGAGCAAAGATCCTTTTCCAGTTACTTGAATTTTAATGCTACGAAAAAAATTTGGTCTAATCAATTTTATGATTAGAAAATTGTATTTACAAAAAAGGCAACGGCACCTCACCTCTTGTAAACCTAAATTTTTTTTAACTAACACAAAAACAAATAAATAGTCGCACAAAATAATTTTTAAAATATATATATAACGCGATGTTTCCTTGTTTTTTTCCTTTTTTAAAAATTGCTGCGGAAAAATAGATCGCGATTTCTTCTCTTTTTTTTTTTTTTATAAACCTTTTTAACATGTCCAAACTTAACAAGGACATACTTTTCTTGTTATTTGAGGAATTACAAGATGACACAAAGTCCCTCTTTTCATGTCTATTCGTTAATCGACTTTGGTGTGAAACCATGGTTCCAATTTTATGGAGAAATCCCTGGCGTTTTAAAAAGAAAATAAATGATAAAATCAAAAGTTCTTTATATTACGTTATTACCTTCACTTTATCCAATGATATCAAGTTATTTTTAACCAGTATGGGAATCTATTTACCTCCAATTTCACACAAGTCACTTTTGTTTGATTATCTATACTTCTGCAAGAGTATTAATGTAAAAGTCATAAACAAAATCATTTCTATTTGTTCTTCCTCAACTTATAAACGATTTCATTTACAACAAGAAATTTACAACAACTTTATGAGAAAATGTCCGGGATTAAAGTATTTGGATATGAGATCACTTAGACACCAAATATTTTATTTTACAGGAGCGAAGATATGCCTTGGTTCACTTTGTGAAATCACATGTGATATGTCCATTAATCCAACGTACTATTATGGATTAGCAAGTGTCTGTCAATCAATACAAAGGCTCATCATTTTCAATAAAGATCAAAAAACCAATGATGGAATTGTCAAGTTGCTAGAGATACAGAAGAATTTAAAGCATTTTGAATGGAATGATGATTTAAGGGATCTTAATAAAATTAATAAAATTATATTCAAGAAGGAAGTATATGAAGAAATTTTTAAAACATTAGAGAAAAAGGCAAATACCCTAAATTTTTTGGTGACGAACTTTCAAGATTATGATAATTGTGGAACAATCATACCGATAAATTTTTCAAGATTTCATAACTTAAAAAAGTTATTGATTAAATTTCCTTACGACAAATTTGAATATCAATTGAGAAGAGCATGTTATCAAAAGCTTGAAACCCTTCACTTAGATTGTATTCAATGCAGCACAATCTGTCGCGTGGTTCTAAACAACGGAGGGCGCCTCAGGAAAATTTTAGTCAATGACTATGACGTTCTTTCTAATACCTTTTTTCAAGATTCTCTTATTCTTATCCGTACGATTTATAAAAATTGTCCTTTGATCGAATATTTGTCACTCTCATTTTCAAAATCAACGATTCATTTCGTTGAATTTGAAAATTTACTAAAAGCATGTCAAAAGTTGAAGGGGTTATTGTTAGTTATAAATGAAGTGATGAGCAAACAACTCGAATCGGTTGAAGAGGAAAAATTTGAATCAGGAGAAAAATTATCAAGGGCATTAACACAATCAGCACCAGATAATTTAACAGAAATTAGATTTGGGGAAATTTTTCCATATTCTGGGTTTAAATTTTCATCAAAAACTTTAGATACTTTTTTCGATAATTGGAGAGGTCGAAAAGCATTGTCAATGTATGCATGTGATCTCGAGTATAAAAAAGTAGAATATGCAGAAATTATAAAGAAGTACATAGATGAGGGAGTGGTTAAAGAATTTATACGTGGTAGCTTAAAGGATGCTATCTTTGATTATGAATTGTAGATTAAAAGATTAGATTTTTTTAAATATTTTTGGATGCATATATACCATTCATTAATACACTTGTGAATTAAGTGTTATTAAGCCTATTATAATAATAAATAGATATATATATATATTTTTTTTTTGTAAAACTTAAAAAGATATTCAAGTAACTCGGATTTTGATTCGATAAATGGTATATCGTTCTATGATAATGCAATTAACATTAAAAATATTTACAATTTGAACTTGATAGAAATATTGTTTTTCTCTTTAATTAGCAATTCAAGCATATTTATATGACAGCCTGATTAAGTTAAAGCAGACAAGTAATATGGTTCTATTTTGCATCAGTTGTAGTTGCTATGAAAATGTTCGATTTTGTGTTTGATAATTTGAAGAGAGGAACGTTATATGTTTTCTTTTATCGGCTGGAACTTGATCTAAAAAGTGGAGTCCGCAACAATTGCGATCACAAATTTGAAGATATTACGAAAATCGTAACAGCCCACGAAGAAAATCGTTATACCCCCAATAAACAAGTTTTTAAGATCTTGTAAAAATTAATTTCGTTTGAATTGGAACCTTTCTTTGCCTGACTTTAATATTCTTGTATTCATTATTTATTATTACAAGTACTGGTATTACTGCAACATAATGACATTAAATATTTGTCATCACGTGATCTATTTATGACACGAACAATTTAAACGATTAAAAAATATTTTTTTATTTTTATATAATCTACGGGCTTTGTGATAAAAAAATTCCGGTAAATATTTTCATTTAACAAGTTAAATATCGTTTTGTGATATACCTTCTCTCATTTTTGGCAAATGACTTTGAAATGACCTCAAATGACCTCAAATGGCATCATTTTTATTATAAATTTCAAAATCAAATGACCAAAGGTCATTTAAAAGAATAGTAAATGACCTAATAATTTGGGTAAGTCTGTTTTAGGGACCGGTTTATAAATATTATTGCGGGCAGGTATCGCCGAAATTATATTAGTCGAAACTTAAATCTATAAAAACGTAAGTTCAACAACACCTTAATATTTTTGGACTAATATGTAGGTTCTGTCTTTTTGATACTTATTCTCCAAGGATTATATTTTAACTGAAAAAATCGTTTTTTTTGATTTCATGATTAAATCGATGCATTTTACCTCATATTTAATCCTCCTCCAATAATGCCAAAGTTCATCATGCTATAAATGATTTAAATTATTTACGTTTAACAACAGTAATCAAAAGAATAAAATGTATAGTGCGATTCGATAAAACCTTTAAAAATCAAATGATTTGATAAATACACTTGGATACTAGTTTCAAACCAAGTTCAATAAACAATATTGATCTCTTATCTCTTTATCACTAAACCTTAACGCTCGCTATTATAAATGCTTATAGTAAAAAAATATTTAATACAAATAGCAATTATTAATTATTAAATAGAATACACAATAAAAATTTTCAACTTTTTTCATTTAAATTCTTATTAATAAAATTTTGAATATTTAAGTAGGCTATCTGCTATAAAACTATATTGGATTTTAATTTTTCTTAATACATGATTTTAATAAACTAAAATCAGATCATTTTTTTTAAAAAAAATGTGATAATACAATATTTATTATAAAAATTTAAATTCAGTAACAAATATATTAAATTTTAAGAAAGATACAAAAATAGAAAAAATAAAATCTAATATCTAATATTCTTTATTAATTAAAACTAACTCTTACTAAACTATCTAGTTATTTTATCATTAAAATAACTAATTATATTGAATTAAAAAAAAGATCATAATCAACTATATACTATTTAATTAAAAATATCTAGTTATACTTTTTTTATTTCTAAAAATTAAATATATTAATAATTATATTTTTTTTTATTATAAAAAAATAAATGCTCTAATTATTATAATTAATTGTATTGATTTTGCATTAAAACAATTATACTAAATTGAAAATAAAAATAAAAATAATAATTAATCATTTAATTATTTATTATATTATTCTTATATATTTAAAATAAGAATGATTATGAATTAATCTTTTTAAATTCTAATATTTAAACTTTAATTTTATTGAAAAAGATTTAAAGAATTTATATGAATTTAAAGAAATATTATAAGAATAAAAACTATTTTACTAAATTTATAATACCACATTTCTTTAAAATAAGAATTAAGTAATATAATAAATAATATAAAACTAATATATATTATTTCATAGAATGCTTATTTTTGAATATGATAATCTAATTAAAAAATATGCTATAATATATATTAAAAAATAAAGGATTATTAACTAAAATATTAAATTATAATTTAATAATAAAATTAATTTTTTATTTTATTATTAACTAAATTTTTTTAATAAATAATATACTTTTAACAAAAAAAATTATCTAAATATATTTTTTAAATATTAAGAAATATTATTAGTATTTTTATTTAATAAAATTAATCATAAAATAATAAAAGTTTATAAAGATTTTAATTAAAAAAAAGTAAAATTTCAGATAATAAAAATAAAATGATACTTTTATTATATCAATAATAATATTATAAGAATCTATTTACAGAGGGTGGACAAAAGTTTCTGAACACTTTTCACCAAATATAAAACTTATAATTCCTTAGCATTAATAGTAAAAGTTTTAATATTATTTTATTTAGAGCTAGTTAAGGCATACATTTCGTATTAAATTTTAGTACTTGGTTGGGCCTTCTTTGTCGCAATCACAGTCTAAATTCGCTGTGATATGCTATTGACTAAATTTTCAATAGTATATATCAGAATTTTTTGCCATGTCTTTTTAACATATTGGTCAAGGTCAGCAAGATTCAATGGTGGTTTTTAAATATATACAAATGTTTTTTTTAATATCAGCCCATAAATTTTCAATTGGGTTAAGATCAGGACTTTGGGCTGGCTAAGTAAAATATGGTTCCGTGTTTTCTTTGGTTAATTCTTTATTTTGTCTAATTATTTTTGATTTAGTAGAGATTAAGTGAATTAAATCAAAACAACAAAAAAACATGAATTTTTTATTTTGATTATGTAATAAATAATAGACGGTCATATGATTGCAGTATGGTATCACAATTATATAATAAAAATTTTTTAAATCGCATTTATAAAGGTGTTCAGAAACTTTTATCCACCCTCTGTATATTAATTAAAATTTTTAATTAGAAATAAAATTTTTAATAAAATCTAATAAAAATCTGTTATTAATATATAAATATAATATTATTGTTTAAGGGAATTTACATATATTATGTAATTATCAGGGAGGGGAGAGGGGTTCTCAAAAATCTCACCTCTAGATTGGCCAATCAGAATAAAGAAAAAGAAAATCACGTGATAACTACATTATTGTTACATAAATATCAGAGGTGTCAAAATTTTTTGCACATCAAAATTTTCATACTGACTTTATTTATTTGAGAAAAGTAAATTTTTATTATATCAATGAATTTAAACGATTTAAATATTAATCTAGCATATTGTAAATATAATGTGAACTAATGGTTTTTTTTTATCGTCTTAAAATTTTTTCTAGTCTTGCAAGACCAAACATTTTGTAAGAACCTTTTTACTCACCTTCCAATTGTATTTTCCAGTTATATAAGGCTAATGCTTATCCAGCTGACACAGGTGCAACTAAAATATTGTCAACAGAATTGGTAAGTGATTTTTTTTGCTTAGCTTGTCATTCTCGTCATTTTGGATGTTGATTTTTTTATGTAAGGTAAGGATAGAAAGTGTCAGAAAATATACATTGCAGACGGGACAGCAGAGATGAGTATAAGTATCTGAACTAATAGAAGGACAGTAGGCATTATATCCAGGTATTTTGAGCTTATCACAATATTCTAAGATATGAAGCAGATTCAAAAAATGTTCATCTTTTCTCTTTGTCACAGGTGGGAGAAACCCATTATTCTTCACAAGAAGAATGGCTGCTTCTTTATAACGTTTAGGCAAATAACAAAGAGAATTTTCACATTTTTTAATGTCAAGAGAGTATTGACATATTTTGGTATAATTTTTCAGCCATTGCCAGAATATAGCCGATTCATCAGTATTTTCCTTTTCACATCTGAGAAACATGATACCACTGAATGAAAAACTTTTTTATTAATATATTACGTTATAACTGATCTTCTGAAGATAGAATCACGTTTCCAAAGAGCACACAAAGTTTCACTAGCATAACGCATATTCTTTATTGCAAGCTCTAAATCAACTACTTTATCTTGAGAATCGAGGTGAGACCCATATTTATCGATTGGTAATGTTATGCCAGCTAGTTTTTAAGAGAGCGTTACCATGTTACGCTCAACAGGATTATACGCTGATTGATCAGATGTGTACGTTCAAATAAAAAGATAATCAAGGTCGAAGGCACAGAATATTCTACAATACTGATAGATATTTTTCATATAGCGGGAGTTTTCATCTGAGCCTCTATCGACTAAAAGAATCCAAATTGATTTAATCTGACTATTGACTTTTAGTATTTCGTCAAAATGACTATCTTGTGTCAGAGAATTTAGGTCATTCATATAAGAAGTTGAGCTTGTGCTAATTTGATATTGCAGGCGTATGAAAATTGAAAGTTAGTCATTATGAAAAGTATCATTTATGTCATTTGGTTAATGAGTAAATAGACCAATGGAATAAGCTTTTGCTATATTTCAATCAGAAAATTATGATCGGATAGTGTAACTGGTTCTTAATAATTCTGTATGATTTGGAAAGTTCTCCTGACTGTAGGGATATCAAGAGGAACTTTAGCTTTATCGTCCTGAGAAATGATAACAGAATGGGTCAGAAATAAGGCTGCAAATTATTTAGCTTCTTTCACAAAAGCAAGACAATAGTGTTTATCAGGATGTTCTTTTTTTTCATCTCTAGAAACAGAAGCAATTGCAATGTTAGCTGGGTAGTGATGAGCCTTTGCTGCTATAGAATTTGATTAAGATAACAGTTCCAATAAAAAATTTGATATAAAAATTCCATAAAAATATAAAGTTTTATAACGTATAATTTTTATGGAATTTCAGTA